TCAAACTATAATCCTGGCTGGCAAATTCAAAACAAAGCATGGGGAGCAAATGGTTTGAATGAAATAAAGTTTATGAATGTCTGCACGTTATGATTAACAAAAATGTAATGCTTTTTGTAGTCAATTTGAAATTAGTTCGAAGAAAGTGTAAGGATGCAGAACATTAGTTTTATAATGCCTTAATTTACTTGTAATCAATCAATTTACTATAGCAGGAGCGCTGGAAATTTCCTAATTGTGTAAGCTTGGAAGAAGAAAATTTTGGCCCCAGAGACATTATAGGAACTTGTGCTACCACGACTTTAGACGGATCTATCAAAATGACTGGCCTGTGTAACCTAAGCTACTCAACAAAGTTTCATACTTACGTATACTTATCGCAAAGCAGCACACTATAACAGTGTTCTGTTTTGCGAAGACTATTAAGATAATCACTAGTTTTTATGGTTTTGGACTTATTGAAACCAAGCTCTTCCTCTCTAATCATGTTGTTTGCTCTTCTAATTAAACAGTTTTTAGAAAGAGTAAGATTCATAGAGTGATGCGTTGGGTTTTTAAAGTTTTTTAAGATTCAGAAGATGGCTGGAATGAATGCACAAGTCTATATATAGATAAGGTCACTGCGTTCACTTTAATTTTTTGAATTTTTTTCCTTGAGAAGCAAAAGCAAGCAATGGTAATTAACTATAGACCCTAGTACTAAGAAAGGAAGGATTTTTTATTGATGTGGGTATTCATGAAGCAAGCTCTATTGTCAAATACTCGAAATGCTGATTCCAAATCAATCTTCCAAACGTGCCAAAGATTTATATGAAAGATGTTATGGATGTTTTCTAAATAGTTTATAAGAAATAAAAGATGTCCACAAAAATAAAAAATAAACTTGTAAAAACTAAATATCAACTATATCTTTTCTAAATAAATCTAAATATCTTTTTGAATTATAGCTATAGTATTGTTTATTCAGGATGAAATTGGTTTTTGAAGCAGTTACTAACTCG